GAATGTTGCCTATCTCAGTGTACTTCGGTACTCAACAGTGTGATAGTCACAAACGAAAAAATGTTGTTACTTCGCTGATTAAGGAAATTGATACGGCGAGTATGTATTATCATCTGTATGTAATTTTTCTTGTGATTTGCAAAATCATTAAATACTTTTGAGCGATTCGAAATGTGATCAGCATTCAAATGTCTGCCACTTGCCCGTTGGTGGCGAACTATGGCGTTTTTTGGTATGGAATCATATTACTTGCAGATCGTAGATGAGGGCTATGATCCTGAGGAAGAGGAGTGGTCAGGAGAGTGCATTGCACTGTACTCGAGCAATGATGTATTTAACAGAATATTTGGGGTGCGCTATGGTGTTGTCGCCGGCTCAGGTTCGAATGACTTTACTTCAACTATTCCTTCACGCGGCAGATATCTCTAATCCGACAAAGCCGTTTGAGAGTTGCAAGGCCTGGGCTAATAGAGTTTTGGATGAATTTTTCGCCCAGGTAAAAACGTCACGAATCCGATGACACTGAACAAAACGTTTTTCGTCTCTCAGGGTGATCTAGAGAAAGCCCAGAACATACCAGTCCAGATGCTAAATGATCGCAATACCGTCTCGAGGCCGCATTCCCAGATTGGCTTTCTCGAGTTCTTGGTTGCACCTTTGTTCCTGCTGCAGGTAGCGAGAGACGCAGGTTCGATCCCCGGCTCCGACAACTAAATCAGGTTCAACTCCTACCATCGTTATACGAGTCCGACAATTACCTTGTCAATAATCTCGCGCGGTGGGCTGACGAATGGGCGATTGAGAATTCCCCCTCTGCAGACGATATGAGAAAGGTGCGGTACTGGTCATCGCCTTATCGTCATTATAGGGTCTGATTTCCATAGGTTCTTGATAGAGTTAATAAAGTTGGTAATACCCATGCATTAGAGCATAGTGGTATCATCTACACTCCACCGAAAGAGTTAATACGTCTTATAAAGGTGGCTATAGTAGGATAGTGATGAGCCTATGTGATT